TCTGCGTATTTTGTTCACAATTAAAATAGAACAACAGCAAATACTGTAAACAGGATTATTGAAAAGCCAATGGAAGCAAGGAGATAAAATTCTCCACCTAGTTGTGGTCAAATGCATACTCTGCATTCTTAAAACTCCCAGCTCACTGCCCCTCCTATAGGACCGATAGGGCAGAGTCGAACTGCCCCTGTGGGCTTGAGATACTGACTCTTTACGACAGTGAAAGCCCGTCTTCCTTACCTAATTGATGGGTGAGGAAACTGAGGCTCCAAGAGCATAAGTAATTGCTCACGCCCGTGCAGGTAATGAATGATCCAGGTTGTCTTGATCCTTCTTCTTTAATCCTGCCCCTCTTCTTCTCACAGGAGCTGACTGTTGGGGAAGAGCCATCCCAGAAGAAACGCCCGGGGAGAAAATTGTGAGCAAACTCCATTACCTTCTCTTTGGAGACTGTGGGGACATTTCCACAAACAAGTGAGTGGCCACTGAGAACTGGGTCGAGGGTAGTATGACTGAATAGGGGTGGGGGGGAGCCTCAAAGGAGGATGAATCTTCAAGATGAATTTTCACATGATGTTGAAAGCGGAATGGGCTGAAGATTGTTAAACCTCTCAGCTGGGTGCTCCTCAGCCAGGAGGCCCCATCCGAAGGTGGTGAAGGGAGTGAATGATAGTCACTACCGTTGAGGAAACATTTTCCCCGCAGAAATGGGCTCTTAGGAAAATACTGGACTGTGTGCTGGGGATTTGGCTAGGTGCTTCCCTTTCACTGAAACCTAACTTCCGAGATGAGGTAAGCATTGCGCTCAGAGTTTACAGAGATTAGGCAGCCCAGGGTCGCTCATCAGGAAATGGTGGCAGCTGCACTCACCAATCCTGATTCTGGAACCCCTGGGGCATTTTAACAGCTCAGGGAAGGTTCTAGAGCATGTAATAGAGAGGGAGAGGGGTTTGTTCAGGGAGAATCTAGGGATGGGGAGCAGAGAGACCACAGGGATGAGAGTTTGGATGGAGAAGGCGGTCCGGAGTGGCTCTTGATTGTATTGGTGCTGTCAAAGTCCACACTGCTGATCTCAGAAAGGGACACCCAATATGGGTGGTGGGTGGTGGGTGGTGGGCGTGGCTCTGTAATCTATAGTCTGTAGATGATTCTACAGACTAGTAGCAGGGAGTGGGGCTTCCGCAGTAGATATACTGCACAGATGGGCCGGCTTCTGTGTGTACCCCCTTTCTTCCTCCTGTTGCCGAACTGCTTGGGGTGGGGGAGAGCTAGGCTGAGTATGAAGTCAGCAAGCTGATATTGATTTTAGGTGCATATGACTGGGGAGGAGGAGGCATCGAGGAGAATTTAATATTTTTCTTATGCTGACAGCACATACCGTGCGTGAGATCTCGGCCAAGGACTGGCTTTGTGGATGGACACTGTATTAGTCTGGGTACTTTGGAGAAACAAATCCACAGCAACTCATGTATAAGAGCTTTATGTAAAGAAAGTGTGCATCACGAAAACATCCCAACCCAATGCTGCCCAAGCCCACAAGTCCAACATTAACTCATTAACCCAACACCAGTCCACAAAGCCCTCCACCTCACAAAACAGAGGCAATACCGACTGCAGGAGGAAAGCTGAGTCAGTGAACGAACAAGCATCTCAGCACTAGCAGGGGTCTCCACACGGCTGCTCCAGCACCCAGGGCTGCATCGGGATAGGTCCATGTGGCTTCTCTTTGGGGATGTCTTGTAGGAAGTCAATCTTGCAAGCTGAAGCAGGGCACTGCTAAGGCAGGCTGCACCCGGTGCAACCATCACAAAACAAGAGACCCGAGAACTAGAAAGGCGAGGCTCACCACCCATTTATCTCTCCGCCTTTCAATTAGCTCCACATGTGATTATCGGCCAGGCTGGCACAATTAACTAACTCAGACACTGAGCAAATTGCAGACATTTGGGGGCAGAATTTCTTTTCCTTTTAGCAGAATACAGTAGTGCGTATATGTCTGTTTGTGTGATGGTAACCCAAAACTCAGGCACGCCTTGTCTTCAGAGGGAGCGCATGACATTAGGTACCCCCAGGGTGGAGATGTGGGCCAGCCTCAGATCTTTGGATTCAGTGCGGTGTTTGTGAAGTGATCTCAGCTGTTTGTCAGGGAAGTGCTAGCTGGATGGAGAGTTCCTGTTATCATCTTACTTCATTTGTTTACCTTGGATTCTGCCGAACGCTTTGATTCTCGGGCGGGTGGGTTGGTGTTCTGCGCGGAAAGGCAGGCTGCTTGAGCGTGGCTTTCTGTGTAGCAGCAGTGACCATGGAGAGCAGGCCCTGTGATTATAGAATAACTCTGAATAAGTAAAAAGATGTTCTCCTGGCAGCTTCTGGAAGGGGAGCCCGGGGGCCTGTATCATGAGGGATTGGGTTGCACCGCAGTGAAATGTTGCAGCTGTCAGACGCACAGCCGGATGGGCATCCGCTGTAACCTCCAGGTGTAAATCGGCCTCCATCAGCATCGTGGCCAAGTCCCGGGAGGGGTGCTCTGCGTCAAAAGCCCTCTGAAGAACCTTGTTCCTGGCTGTGATATGTTAACCCTCAGTAGCTGGCTGGGTCTCCAGAAGCCTGACCAGAATTCTTCAAAGGGACTGTGTGAACTGGCCTAGACTCTTGGCAGTGAGTTTTGGGTTTAGGGTTTTTTTTAAGTGTGTGTGTGGGGGGGCGGGGGGGGGGGCGGTATGCTCGCCTGTTCCAAATTCTGGTTAAACCATCATTTCAGCAAGAATCAGAGTGGCTAGGTAGAGTTGAGAGGCGGGTGGAATTTACTGATACTGGGACTCACAGGGCCCCTCATTTTGAGAAATAATGGCAAGGAGGCCTGGTGGTGTAGTGAGTGATTATGCATTGGGTTGTTAATTGCAAGGCCAGCAGTTTGACACCACCAGCGAGCTCCGAGGGTGAAAGATGAAGCTTTCTGCTCTGGTGAAGAATTAGTCTTGGAAACCCACAGGGGCACGTCTACCATGTTCTGTCTGGTCTCTGTGCGTCGGATCAACCCGATGAGAGTGAGTTTGTCGTTTTGGTAACAGTATGATGAGCATCAGGTGCCTTCCAGTTATTACCTTATGTCCTGGGGAGCAGGGTTTTATATTATATATTTATATTTTGCTTGGCACATAGAAGTTGTGGTGAGGCTTCGTCTCACGGACTTAAAAAGTTTTTCATTTTAATAAATCATTTTATTGGGGACTCTTACAGCTCTTATAATAATCCATACATCAATTGTATCAAGCACCTTTGTACATATGTTGCATCATCATCTCTAAAACATGTCCTTTTGGTATGAGCTCTCATTTTCCCCCTCCCCTCTCCCACCCTTTCACCCTCATGAACCCTTGATAATTTATAAATTATTTTTAGTTTAATATTTTACACCAACCGCTGTCTCCCTTCACCCACATTTCTGTTGTTCGTCCCCCTTGTGGGGTGGGGTGGGGAGTTGTACGTAGATCATTGTGATCGCTTAACCCTTCTCCCCCCACCGTCTCCCTACCCTCATGGTATCGCTACTCTCATTATTGGTCCTGAGGGGTTTATCTGTCCTGGGTTCTGTGTGTCGAGAGCTCTTATTTGTACCAGTGTGTATGCTCTGATCTAGCCAGATTTCGAAGGTAGAACTGGGGTCGTGATAGTGGTGGGGGAGGAAGCATTAAAGAATTAGAGGAATGTTGTGTGTTTCGTCGGTGCTACACTGCACCCTGACTGGCTCATCCCTTCCTTGAAACCCTTCTGTGAGGGGATGTCCATTTGTCTACAGATGGGCTTTCGGTCTCCATTCCAACCCCTCTCATTAGCATCAGAATGGTTGATTGTTTTGGGTTTTCTGGTGTCTGATTGTGGATCTCATCAACACCTCGTGATCACACGGGTTAGTGTGCTTCTTCCATGTGAGCTTTGTTGCTTCTGGGTTAGATGGCCACTTGTTTACCTTCAAGCCTTTAAGACCCCAGACTCTCTATCTTTTGATAGCCGCACACCATCAGCTTTCTTCACCACTTTTGCTTATGCTCCCATTTGTCTTCAGCGATTATATCAGGAAGATGAGCACACAGTGATGATTTTTTGTTCTTTGATGCCTAATAGCTGATCCCTTCAACACCTCGTGATCACACAGGCTGGTGTGCTTCTTCCATGTGCGCTTTGTTGCTTCTGAGCTAGATGGCCGCTTGTTTATCTTTAAGTCTTTAAGACCCAAGATGCTGTATCTTTTTTTTTAATGCTATATCTTTTGATAGCCAGTCACCATCAGCTTTCTTCACCACATTTGCTTATGCATCATTTTGTCTTCAGCAATTGTGTCAGAGAGGTGAGCATCACAGAATGCCAGATTATTAGAACAAAATGGTCTTGCATTGAGGGAGGACTTGAGTAGAGGCCCAATGTCCATCTGCTACCTTAATACTTAACCTATAAGTATATGTACATAGACCTATATCCCTATCATTATATATTAATATATTTACATAGGTATATGCCCGTGTTGATACCTCTATAAATGTCGTTTGCCTCCTAGTTCTTTCCTCTATTTCCTTTCACCTTCCTCTTGCTCTCTGTACTTCCTCTCGGGTGTGTTGTAAGGAGGGACTAGTTCCTGGAAAAGTAGAGGGGCAGCAAACATGAAGAAGGCCCTTGACCTTGACAAGATGGACCCACACAATGGCTGCACCCATGGGCTTGTCCCCGAGAACAGCTGTGAGGATGGCACCGTCGGCCTGGCAGTGTCTCGTTCTGGTGTACATAGTCTTGCTGTGAGTCGGGTGACTTGATGGCACCTGACAACAACAGATCATTGAACTGAATGTCAGCACCGCGTTTGAGGAGCCCAGCCTGTGACTGGCAGCACAAGGATGGGAAACAGTGTAAAGTACAGCAAATGATGGATTACCTTCAGATCCTCTTTGTTGAAGACCCTATCTACCCTAGTTTTCAAGAAATCTGGAGTTTGACAAGAGTGAGTGTCCGCGTTGGTTAATGGTGGTGTTAGGAGGTTTGGACGAGGATAATGGAGATCCCACGGGGCCTGGGCATTGTAAGCACCGTATGTGTTTGAAATTCCGCCGTGGATGCCATTTGTTTCTCAAGCAACATTTGACTGCTTATTAGTTTTAATTTTAAAATTTAAGCAATTTTTAAAAATGTGACCATGGAGACCATCTTTGTGAGTAGGCCTGAATGAGAACATGCTACTCAGGAAAGAAAGCTGAGAGAGGTCTGATTTCAGTAATAAGAACATCATGCTCCCATCTAAATACTTAATGAATACAAAATATTTTATTAGTCAAGCAATCGGAATTCACCATGTTGTGTGTTATGAAGTCGGTGATACAAGGGAACTGTATTAGGAGGAAATGTTACTATTTAGCTCACTAGTTTAGCTTCACGTTTTTTAGTGCTGTTATCCTCCTGTTAATCAAGTCTGTTTTTGCTCACAT